TTTAAATGTGAATATTTATATTTCATAGTATTTATGTATACAAATGTTTTACAGAAATAAGTGTGTGTGTGTGTGCATATATATATATATATATATATATACACACACACACCACATATTTGTGTATATATATATGTGTGTGTGTGCATTTCCATGAAAAGATTTATATGGATATATTTGAATATGTGTTTAAAAATATATAGAGAAGTTATTGATATATGTATGCATTCAAGTTGACCAATGGAATTAGTTTTATATAGAATAGTTTTTTCTCTTGTCTTTTTATATATATATATATATATATATATGAGACTGACTCAGTTGGTAAAACCATTATTAGACTGAAGGAAATCCTTCTAGGCAGTGTATTATTCCCACTTAGTAGACTGGAGTCCAATCCAATTATATAAATATCAAAATGATATGGAAGTTAACACACAAAATATTTATTGACTGCTAAAATTCTATGAATTTATACAGATTTAGGCTTATATATGCTAGATAAATCAAGCTTATAAAATTAACCATCACTAATTCCATCAGCGTCAATTTAGAAAGTACAGTCCTTCTTTGGACCTCATTGACTGGTGTTACAAAATCACAAACAACTGTACTAAATAACTCATCACTTGAAGACTTTCAAAAGCAGCAACAAATAAAATGGATGTCACACAAAAAGAGAAAATAATAACATAATCGAGATGTTGACTTTTCATAAGATTTCTCGAATATTCAGACTAGCAGATGAAAATAAATAAATATACTGTTTAATAAATAAATGGAGCATCTACTCAAATACAAGTACCCACTAAAAATAATGCTTAAGTTATAAAAATCTGTCAGATTAATAAATAAAAAATCTATCCCTTTTTTTAGAAATTACTTTGTTTATGTTAGAATACAAAACTGAGCAGATATGTCTATTTCGAGAGTGTGAGAAAAATCTGTTTAAAGGCATTATTGAGCACTGAGTAGTCATCGATGCACTTCGTAGCTGAGAGATCCAAACCACATCAGATCTAATGATAGTTTTCACTTGGGGAACATGTTTGAATCCTGCTTGAGAGCACACATTTTTCTCTAATAAGATTTCTCGAATATTCAGACTAGCAGATGAAAATAAATAAATATACTGTTTAATAAATAAATTGAGCATCTACTCAAATATGAGTATCCACTAAAAATAACGTTTAATAAAACTATATATGTCTATGTATGAATGTATAATGCAGTCTTCAGGCCATGATGATTGCATTCAAGCATGAAACAGACTGCTACCATTTGGTGTTGAACTCAGTCCACACTGCTTATATTTATATATACCCTATCCTGAATATTGAGCACTTTCACCTGAGAAATATAGAATACTTTAAAACTATATTTTATCATACATAGTTATATATAATGTTGTACATATGAATTATATATATATATATATATATATATATATATATATATATATATATATGTATGTATGTTTATTTCTTTCATCTATTTCTTTTAATGTTCAAGTTCCTCCCAGGTACAAGTGATCTTTGTTCTACACAGATACCTTTTCTTTATTATATGTTAATTGCTATGACTTCCTGAGAAAGACAACAGTTTCCAGTTGCCTTCTTCATAGTTTGAAATTCAGTAAAGTCCTTTCCCTAGGCTGATTGCCACCCACTAGAGATCCCAATCTACCCTGTTCTAGGCCATTGTGTGAAATTGAATGCAACAGACATGGTGGAATTTTTTGAACTCAGCTCACTTGATTCCACTGTTTACCCTGATAGCTGTTGAACCCTATTTATACGTCCTTTAAACTATTACTGTTTTAATTGCTAGACTTAATCTCAAATTTTGCTAATTAAAAAAATAATTAATATCACAATTCCATTATGAAGTGTGCTATAAAGTTTTCTTTCTGACCAGCATAGTCAGATATTTGGTCATTAAAATACTGATTTAGGGAAATAGCTCAAGCCAAGAATTTTTCAGCACTCCTTTGTATTTAATTCATGTATGTACATATATTAAAATAAAATCCTATTAAAGTAAAAAGGATTAAGATAATTGCCCCAAAACATGTTTCATTAATAAGCAATAACCTTCATTAATATCTTCATGGTTATTTGATGTTAATGGCCCCAGGCTGAATTAAATAAACATTGAAATATGAAGATAAACAATTACACTTCTTGCTTATATATTGACTATTAATTATCTACAACCATAAGTTTTTTTGAGTTTCATTATTCTAAAATAATTTTCTTTTTCTCTCATTATTTTATACTAGCAGCCATATCCAGCTGGTCAAACAGAAATAGTGTTCAATTAGAATGGAGTAAAAGCAGCATCATGTTTAGATGTAACAGAGACTATCTTCAATTACTTTAAAGTACATTCATTAAAAAACATTTTGAATTAACGTAGTTACTGATATAACAGAAATAGTCTGTATTTATTCAATCAAAGTTAGTCAAAGACATGAAGGGGTAAAACAGGCAACATATAGACCCACTTCAGACCACAATTATTTTGAAGGTTTTGAAATTCAATTTGTCAGTGCATGACCAGGGATGTAAAAGAGGATACATTTATAAAGCATTTGTTAGGTTTGATGAAAATTGGTTGAAATTTCAATGAAAAATAAGAAAGAAACCAGTAAAAATCGCCATTTTTCACTATTTATGCGGGTTTTCACTATACAGCTAAACTCAGTTATCAAGTTAAATGACTGTTAAACAATAACTTATTGTTGGCTACAATTGAGTGAAGTTTGGATTAGATTGCTTGAAAATTGAGGGAGTTTTTAGTTTAAAATTTGTGTTGAAATCGATTTTTCGTTTTTCACTAAACACATTGATCTAGAAATAAAAATGAGATATCGTTGAGCTCATCATGATGCAAGTAACCTACATACCAAGTCTGAACAAATTTTTGATCAGCTTTATTGATTATTGATTTTTTTTAAAATTATCAATTTTTATGCTAAGAACCTATCTCTTACATTGTACAATGTATGTGCCAAGTATGGTCAAAATCAGTTGGATGGATCTTGAGTGAAAAAAATATCAGACAGACATCTTCTGTTATATATATATATATATATATAGCAATAACAAAAGGCAGAAATCCTGTCAGTCAGTGGAATTCTGAAAGAAAGGAGATATAAGAAAAATGATAAGAACAGTTGCTGAAACCTCTCGATAAGTGAACTGAATATTTACGGGGAAAGTTTGTCTATGAAACTCTGAGGTCGAGGTGCTAAATATAGCATAAATCAGTTAAGTGACAAATTTTGTTTGTATTATTTATAATGGCTACTCATTTCTGAGCATACTCATTTGCTAGGGTGGCTAGCTAATCCTTATTGAAATTATGCTGAGTTACAGTTTCTTGGAGAGAGAGCACATAATCTGACATGATGAACTTTTTGAACAAGATATGTACATTCAAATTCTTGGTGATTATGATTTGTGACTTTATGCTAACATGACCATTGGCTGATTCCAAACAGTTTTGTCTATATAATTTTACTCATAAGGCTTGGCTCAATGCATTTCTTCCTGACTATGAATATGAGATCCGGGTTGAAATCTCACCATGGTTGATTTGTCAAGGAGGTGATTTCTTGATATTATCAGACAGGGGAGGTGATCCCAGTGTGCAGTACCATTGGAAATTGCCTGAAAACCATAATACATCTAAATTATTTAACCAAACATGCTTGAATAAAAATATACTGCAAATATATATATATATATATATATATATATATCCAGGTAAAATGAGAACAAATGGATTATCATTCCACTGAACAACATTTAGTTGAAAAGAGGGCTCAATAATATAGAGTAGAGCTAAATATTATTTATTTATTTTAGGAAATGTAGTGACTTTTAACATGATTTAATATCCTAAAATAAATTTTTATATATATATATATATATATATATATATATATATATATATATATAGGGTGCAATGGGTAAATTGTCAGCATTTTTATATTTTAATTTTGTGCATGCATGTTTGTTTTTTATTTTGACAACTGCACAGTATAGTAGGGTCAGTTGGACCCTGTCTGCAAAAAAAAAAGAATACCATGATGCAATTCACTCCGTCAGAAATTTGGAAACAGCATGCTGTACTGTTTGGCATTTCTGACAAAATCTCCAATATGAACATTTGAGAGTGTTTGAGTGTCAATCTGAGGATAGTGTAAATGATTCAGAAAGAGTTGGATAAGTCTAATGCTGATTAAAAAGGTACAACAGCTGAGAAAAATTGCTCAGATCATGGCTGTCAGACAATTTTTGTGACGACATCACTCCTTACATCTAGCCACCTAACTCTCCAGATTGCAATCCTCTTGATTATTATGTGTGGGGTGCAGGTGAGCAAGAGTTCAGAAAAACTCCTTGTAACACCAAAGATGAACTGAAGACAAGGATTATGTCAGCATTCACTAACTTAAACAAAGTGACTGTCCAGAAGAGATGCAGGAAATTCCAAAGTTGTCTGGAGGCCATGGTTGAAGCCAATGATGATTTTATTGAATAAATTCACTCTTTAGTATTTCAAGATATTTTTGTGTAATTTTGGTGAATATATCTGTTAAAATGAGATGTCAGTGTTATTTATTTTCATATTTGCATAATTTAGACGATAATTTATCCATCGCACCCTGTATATTGTTCTTATAGTACTCTTGTCAGGAAAAGAGATATGTTAGTATCCAAGTTAATTATAATGTGTTGTCTTTTCTTTGAACTAATGGTATCTTTATGCCTAGTTACTGAAACAAAAAAAAGCTGTTGTATTGAGATTACTTAAAAAAATCCTTAAATAATGCCCAATATTATTTATTGAACATTCCTAAACATATACATATATGTATTTATGAGCATTATATTTTGGCTATAGTCAGTTATAAATCCTCTAAGCCAGGGAGAAAACTGCAAAAAAGAATGGATATTAGTGACAATAGTAATTTTATCAAAAAAAAACAGTTAAAAAAAAGATAGAAAGAAATGAATTATGAAGATAAAGAGAAATAAGGAAAAAAAATGAAGAAGGAAAAAAATGAAGAAGGAAAAAAAATGAAGAAGGGAAAAAATAAAGAAGGAAAAAAATGAAGAAGGAAAAAAAATGAAGAAGGAAAACAATGAAGAAGGAAAAAAATGAAGAAGGAAAAAAAATGAAGAAGGAAAAAAATGAAGAAGGAAAAAAAATGAAGAAGGAAAAAAAATGAAGAAGAAAAAAAATGAAGAAGGAAAAAAATGAAGAAGAAAAAAAATGAAGAAGGAAAAAATGAAGAAGAAAAAAAAAAAATGAAGAAGGAAAAAAATGAAGAAGGAAAAAAATGAAGAAGGAAAAAAATGAAGAAGAAAAAAAAAAAATGAAAAAAGAAGAAAAAAAATGAAGAAGGAAAAAAATGAAGAAGGAAAAAATGAAGAAGGAAAAAAATGAAGAAGGAAAAAAAAATGAAGAAGGAAAAAAAATGAAGAAGGAAAAATGAAGAAGGAAAAAATGAAGAAGAAAAAAAAAGAAGAAAAAAAAATGAAGAAGGAAAAAAAATGAAGAAGGAAAAAATGAAGAAGAAAAAAAAAAAGAAGGAAAAAAAAAAATGAAGAAGGAAAAAAAAATGAAGAAGGAAAAAATGAAGAAGGAAAAAAAATGAAGAAGAAAAAAAAATGAAGAAGAAAAAAAAATGAAGGAAAAAAAAAGAAGGAAAAAATGAAGAAAAAAAAAAAATGAAGAAGGAAAAAAAAAATGAAGAAGGAAAAAATGAAGAGAAAAAAAAAAATGAAGAAGAAAAAAAAAAATGAAGAAGAAAAAAAATGAAGAAGGAAAAAAAATGAAGAAGGAAAAAAATGAAGAAGGAAAAAAATGAAGAAGGAAAAAAATGAAGAAGGAAAAAATGAAGAAGGAAAAAAAATGAAGAAGGAAAAAAATGAAGAAGGAAAAAAATGAAGAAGGAAAAAAATGAAGAAGGAAAAAAATGAAGAAGGAAAAAAATGAAGAAGGGAAAAAAATGAAGAAGGAAAAAAAATGAAGAAGGAAAAAAATGAAGGAAAAAAATGAAGAAGGGAAAAAAATGAAGAAGGAAAAAAATGAAGAAGGCAGCAAAAAAACAAAAACATGCAGAGTATGAGAAACAAGATTTAAAAGAAAAAAAAAATCAAAATATGCAAAGTAGCTTGAGGTTAGTTAGCTTTTTTTTTAAAACTTTTCACTCCAAGCAAGGCGGGAGTGCCACTAGAATGCAAGGGGTTACAGAAGGTGGGAGCAAGAGTAAAGAGGCATGAAAGAGGAACGGATGAAGAGAAGGACAGGGAATAGATCAAGGCATCTAGAGATGTCGATTGACATTACATTTGAATAGTAAGAGATTATAGCTACCAGAGAAACAAATAAGAGGAAGGGAGCTCCACAGATGGGAAGTGCAAGACATGAAGTTATTGAAGTAGAAGAGATGGCTACATTTAACCATTTCGGCAGTGAAAGGGTGGGACCTAGATGCCAACCTAGCAGCACATTTAAATTCATACGGTTTGGGAACTAGTGAAAATAGCTCATCAGAACAGTTACCATGAAAGTATTCGTAGAAAAGACAGAGGGAGGCGATGGCATGTCTGTGAGAGAGTGACTGTAAACAAGAAACCATATGTGATACAGTCTTAGGCAATCATCTATCTTTCGATACATGACTGATGAAGCAGATTTTTTCCCACAGTAGGTTGCCATTTCTTTCTGTGGTAGACCAGATTCTATAGCCTTGGATGGCAACTGGTCTACCACAGAAAGAAATGGCAACCTACTGTGGGAAAAAAATCTGCTGGAAGAAGTGGATTCATACCTTTCCCAAGAGTATTAGCATGTAAGTGAATGTAATGGATTTGACTGGAATTCAAACTCAGCTCTCCAATTCTTCAATCCAAGCCGCTAAACTTTGGGGAAGTCAGAGAAAAGGGGACAGATCTTTATACCTTCTGACATTTCAAAATCCCCCACTTTTCTTTAAAAAAAATAGGGTCAATAATAACAACAGTAACAAGCATAACAACTTCAGCAAGTAAATGGTTATTTCATTTTTGTAATAAATTTTGTTGTATTAATGACTATTTCAACAAATCTTTCTTTCTTTCTTAGTATTTTTACCCTTTTCTTTTTTTCTTCTTTTTACCCTTTCTTTTACTTACCCTCTATTAACATATTTTTTCTTTTCTTCACCCACTCTCTATCTGTGCCTTCCTTTCTTTTTTCAGGTTTTTCCCATCAATTATCTTTCTCTTTGCTACTTAATTTTTACCCACTCTCTTATAATGTGTCCAACTTTTCTTTTTGTAAACCCTTTTCTTTTCCAACTATTCCTTCATTAACAATCTTTCCACTATCCATTTTTACTTCCCTTTTCTCACTGTTCTTTTTTCTTCCTTTTCACTATTTCTGCAGTTTTTTCTTTCTTTTTCCACCCAACTGATCATAATACCCACCCTTTCTATTACTCCCAATCATTTTGTTTCCTCCCTTCTCTCTTTCTCTCTCTTGTAATTTCTCTATCATGCTAATAATCTCTTTGCTTTCTCAAAATCCCTGGAATTTTTCTCTATTCTTCAACAAATTTCAATAAAATATAGCAGATGTTCTTCCATTCAATAATAATTGTAATAATCATATTAAAGTAGAACGACCTGAAAAGATTTTAGTCCTGGTTTCTGAAGTGATTCTGAGAGGATATCTTTTATGCTATGTTGTTTCGGATTTCTTTCACACAGCGAAAGACGATAATAAAGTCTGATTATAATAACATCATCATTCTTACTATCAATATTTAAATTGCTTAGTTATGCACAAGAGCATGTGCATACCACCCAGAAAGACTTGAACACTCTTCAATAGTTCAAGCAATGACTACTGTACGTCTAGGAAGTAAAACATTAAAAATCTACAGAAATTAAGATTTGGTAAAATATACAAATACATCTCAACTTTTGAAAGTCATTTGTTGGATGTAGACCTTTCCCAAAGGAGAGAAATAGGCTGTTAATCTGCTCTACTAGCCCAATGTATATTGGTAGGGGCAGATGCGAAATACTTGGTTGATCATGCTAGTTTTTGATTCATGATTGCCCAAAGATATTTACATGTGAATGTAATGAACCTGACTGGAATTTGAACTTGGCTCTTTGACTTCTTATTCTGAGCCATTATCCATTATGCCATCTCCACATACATGCTTACAGCACCTGGTATTCCCAAGAGGTCACCTATCTAGATACTGATCAGGCTCAATGTTGCTTAACTTGTGTGAGTGAATGAGAACATGATGCAGCCATAAGCAAAATATATAAATTGGAAGGAGTCAAATTATAGCAGACATATTATCAAATAATATAAAAAATAAATAAAATTCTCTTTTTATTAAAAATTTTTAATAAGATACAATATTTCTACTAGACACTAGATTTAAAGAAAATTTAGTTAACTTATAATTTACAACCTATATCAATTATTAAACTGCAAAGATTCAGTTTTTAAGATATATAGGTAAGTAATTAGAAATTTTATACTCTTCAAATAACAAATATTCAAAGTGAGCCAAGCATTTTTCTGTGAAAAATATAGATTTTGTTTACTACTATGTCTGTTTGCCAGGTATAAATATAAGAACAATGTATGAAGCAGTTTGTTGGCATGATAGCGCCCTCAGGTGGATTAAGAGTCTGTGCCAGAGTCATTTTGAAATTTTCTTGTATCTTGTCTATCATAACTGCCTTCATAAGAAGAAACAGGATTAAAAAAACAAAAGAATTTTTTGTGAAACAATTTAAGAATTTCTTAAAGATAAAAATTTTGGATTTACACTTTATCCACTTCTTTTCTTTTCCCTTTTTGTGGATGAGCTGAATATCTTCACAAAACCAAATTTTCACCCTCCTCAAGCTTCTGCACTATAATTATTTTCTCTACTACTGTTAGTATTGCTATTATTACAATTAAAATTAACTTATAGATATTATTACTATTATTACTCTTATTTTCATTACTATTAAAATCATTGTACTTATTAAAATTGTTATTATCATTCTAACTCTGATAACTATTACTATTTTCATTGTTGTCATTCCTACTGAAATTATTTTATTAATATTACTACTGTCATAATTTCATTTACTATGACTCTTATTATTACTATCACTCTCTGAATAATTGTTATTACTCTAACTGTTATTGCTATTACAGCTATTATTTCCACTATTATTATTATTGTTATTATCATTACTCTAATTGTGATTACTTTCATTATAGTTTCCATCTATAATAATCATCATTAACATTAATATTTTTCCATGCTGTCTTAATTCTGACTGACCCAATAGAGAATAATTCTATTTTGCTGTCCTCTCAGTTCCGATTACATCCAACTTTTGTGCGTCCACTCACTTAATCGTTTGTCTTCATGTCTTGTTATCCCCCCCACAACATACCCACATATTCCAAAGCATCCTGACTCACCAATACTTTCTTTTTGTATTCCCTTCATCTGAAACCCTTTTGCTACTAATCCAAGCATAATTGTTGGAGTAATATTCTTCCAGAAGCGCTGACAACAATGAAAGCAAAGGGAGCATTCAAGAACATGAAGAAGAATGGAAAGGCAGATAAAGAGAGAATTTGTAAAATGCTTTCATATTTATTTGTGGTTTTCTTTCATTTATGTTGGGTTTTCAGTTGTTTTTTTTTTTTTTATGTTGTATAGTTGATGGAATGGTCACTTTTGATTCTACTCTTTAATTTGAGACCAAAGGTTAAGTCAAATACAAGATCTGTTTTAGAAATTTTTCATGAAACTAGCAGTTAACTATATTTTTAAAACAGTGATAGATGACTGTATTTTTTTTTTACTTACTCTTGAAATTAACCTTGTGTTTGGTTGTATTGTTTTGTAGGTTAAAGAAAATATGGCTAATTTAGTTTTGAGAAAAAAATGAGAAAAATTTCTAGAACAGAACAAGTATTTTGACTCAGACTTTTTGGTTTTAAACAAATTAAAGAAAAGAAAATATAAAATATCAGTCATAAAAAACCAAAAGTCCTATCTTAATAATTTACCTGATCATGATTCAGTGGTTAAGCATAATAATATACTGCCCATCATATATATAGTTCAATTCTTTCAGCACTGTTGATTATGATCTTTAAACAGGTTACTCTTGAAAGAGAGAATTATCTGAATACAAACCATTAGTCTTTTTGGTGGGTTACATATTTCCTCATTTCCTATTGGTTCAACTGTTCTGTCTTTGAGACTAAGTAGGACTCTCTTCACTTGTAAGATTGGTATAATACAATCTTCTGACATTCAATTTTCCATCATTTAGTAAGCTAAATTTATCTTTATATTGTTACCTTTGATGCTTTTAAAATCTTTAGCAGTATAAAGTATAAGATTGCACACCTTTTGCCACCAATATTGCTAACTATTTAAAAAATGCCCTTTACACACACATACATACATACATACATACATACATACTTATATATATATAAAAAAAAAAATAAATCGGTTCTCCCGTTGGGTTCGATGTATGAGGGTCAAGCAGATCAGTTTCCAGGAAACTGACAGCCCGACACCGGCACATGAGATTCGATTATAGTGGTGAAGGTTTTGTGTGGGACCATCCACACTTTTTGAAGGGCCGAATACAGAAATCTGGTGCACTATGTGCCACAAGGTTCCCAAACAACCCCCCTCAGGTTTTGAATTCAGAGTTGTCCTCCTAGACCAGTTGCCATCCAAGGCTATAGAACCCAGTCTGTCCTGCTATTTTACCCATAGCTGGAGGGAGAAGAAGAGGATTCACACCTTTCCCAAGAGTATTAGCATGTAAGTGAGTGTAATGGATTCAACCTGGATTTGAACTTGGCCCTGCGATTCCTCAATCCAAGCCAATATCCATTACCCCACCGTGCCTCCAAACTGAATAGGGTAACTTGACATGGTGTAATGGTTAGCAAGCTTGTCTCGCTAGAACAATTATGACTGAGTAGTGAGTTTGATTCTCACTGGGTGCCCCCCTACATTCAGCCTTGTGCCACATCTAATCTGCTTGAAAAATCAATATATAAAAACTGAATAAACACTTTGGATAGATATTTACTTTATATAGCTTAGTAAATGTAAAAGAAAAATTCCATAGCATTCAATACCTAAGATGGGAAGATCCACCCACTTTCAAAATCATGATTAATGATATTTAGGATGCATTCATTTGACCATGACCTCTGACCACTAGTAACTAGTCAATAAACTAGTTAACCCAACCATGAGTACTTCTATTAGACTGATAATTTTACTACTGACTTTGGAAGCCACTGACAATGAACATGACTATAATATAATATGATGTTTAGGTTAAAATGGCCGAATTCAACAAATACCAATATCTTTATTATAATGGTAATATTAGCTGCTTCCTTATAAGGAAACATTCAGCATTCATTTACCAAACAGGCAGTACTACTATCAGGTGAAATTTATAAAATCTTTCTCTTAAAACACTTTTTAAGGAAAATAGGTTTCTCAAGTCCAGTAGCTGCTATAGCTTTTTCCTGTATTGATGTGGGCTTCCTTCCTAACCTTTTGTTTGAAGTATTGTGGAACATCAAAATTTAGATTATGTCATTATTCTCAATTTAAGTTATATGTTATATCTATTTTAGTCGTTGCTGTTCTTGCAAGTCCTTATTATATTATATCTTTAGATCAGAGTCAATACTCACTTGAAAATGTATTGAGTAAAACCTTATGTTAAAAGCAACAAAGTCCAAGAAATATGTGGAATAGTAACTGTGAAATTGCTATGATATTAGCGAGCTCCTTGACTGAAAATAGATATTGAAACTATTTTTGCCATTATTTCCTGCTATAGGAAATAATAGAAAATATTGTTATAGTCATGTACTCATTTACTATCTCTTTTCCTGCTGACCCTACAGCGTCCCAATGATAAGTCTATAGTCATAACATCTGTTGAAGTACAAAGAAAGTTTGGTTTACAAAACCTAACCATTGCATTAGTCATCATTTAACTGATACTTTGTAACTCTAGGTAAGATCTTTGTGGAACAAATCCAAGTACATATTTATGAAGTATTCAGAAAAAAATGAGTTCAGTATGAATGTTTTCTATGAGTATAAAACCAATAATTAGTAGAGTGTAATATTAACTGAGAGTAAAAACAATTCCAGGTTCATATCAAGGATCAAAAAATATAAATATGCAATAAAAATTTATAAAATAGAAGTTTTCAGTCATATCCAAGTATATACAATGGGGTCCCTACGAACTTTGTGTATCACATTTTTGATCATCTGTTAAAAGAGAGAGGAAGTTGAAGAGAGACATCTCTGCAACTTCCTCTCCCACATCTTGAAGGAACATGTCACAGTAAAGAAGACAAGCCTAAAATAACTGGAGATAGAAACTCATGCCTAGTCACAGATCAGAAAGAAAGTGTGGGTCATTTTGAACATGTTCCTTTAAATTGCTGTACACATTCAAATAATTGTATCTTAGATTCTCTGTCAGCAAATAAAGCATTTGTGGTTTGTTATTTGGTAAGAGATTTGAATGATGCAAGGTGAAAAATTTATAGAATAAAATGGTTTTATTTGTAAACAGATCCCTTTGTCTTTAACATGAAATAGAACAAGAATTATTGGAATTTTCACAAAAAATATACAAATAATATAGTGATGAATATAATAAGATCCAAATTTATCAGGTTGCAAGAAAGTGAAAAATCATAAATTAGAAATTCATCATTAATTAAAATACTGATATGAAGTGTGAATGCTTTTTATACCTTTTTATGAAAACATCTGCACATATAAAGAGCTCAATAACACCACTGGATAGAGCAAGTTTTCAGCTACAAAACAATATTTTCTTACACAGTAATTAACACTGGCTATGCATTTTCGCTCGTGATGAATAAGAGCCTGTGCAGGACTACACAAAAAGTGATTTGTCCCACTCAATGCTGTCGCCGCTGCTGAATCACATTACCCAAACTGTGCTCCCATCCACTATTTGGTTTCTGTAAGCATTGATGAAAATCAATGGATACAATTTTTTTCATGTCAGTACCATTTTGAGAGACTGCTTTCAGATTTTTTGTGAATTAAGGCAAAGACATTATTGGATTATTCAACCTTTACTGCAACATCTAGCATGGGTGAATGTTTATTGAAATATTCTGGTTGATCATTACTAATGCATGTATGGGTTCTATCCTCTTGAGGTGTTATTATTTTTGTG